CTCTCTCTCTCTCTCTCTCTCTCTCTCTCTCTCTCTCTCTCTCTCTCTCTCTCTCTCTTGAGGTTTCTGTTTTCTTTTCTTAGCAATCATAAGATTTCGTTTGGAAATCTCTTCTGCACACACAACACCAAGGGATGGAGGCGCATACAACGTAGATCTCAACATGGCCAGATTCAATAAATGAACAATGAGAAGTTTTTTATATCTGAATTTAGGGGGGTCCTAATCAAATCGAATATCATGCATGCAAATCCGGAGATAACGGATTATTGTATGCAGGGTGATCTCTTACCTCAGGGCCCCTCTCACAGGACCCATCGGAGACACGTCTGCAATTTTGTCGTATCTCCTTCATCCTTGCCAGACGAAAGACGGATGTAGCAACATGAGGAGGAAAATAGGCTACCTGATGCACCACCTGATGCACCAAAATCCAATATTGGAAGATGAATGGCCTCTCATCTAGGACTGTTGCAGCCAATCTTAGAGAAATCTCTAGAAGATTTAGGATACTGAAACTTCACGTCTTGTATTCAGGAGACTACGTAAGATGACAAAAGGTTAAAAAATCAGTGGTCTTGGTGAAAGGGGCTGCAGGGTTGGGCACCTATGGATGGCACACTGGGGGGTGTGGCTATCCTTTTTACACCTGACTTTCAGGGCCAACTCCATGATCCTTTTTTTTAAGTTTTTTTTATTCTTGAGGGTGTTGGGCTTGTGTGATGGTCAAAATAGGGGACCAACTCTGGGTCATGGCCACAGTTTATGCACCTTTTTTTTTTTTTTTTTTTGAAAATCCCAGGTTGTTGTAGAGGCAAGGTATGAGGCACGGGAATACTCTCCGGGTTTCATCCGCTTGAAGATCGGAATGACCGACTTGGCCCGCTGGACCTTCCTAGACGGAGTTCCCTTTTTGGCAAATTTCTCAAGACAAAATAGCTGACAGATCTAATATGGAGACTTGAAGGATAAGAAAGATAATTAATAAAGCGCCCTAAATGTTTTTTATGAGTACGATGTAATATTATTTGATGTATTAGGGGATGATGTAGAATGTGGGGGATTTTCAGCACCGCTTAATTATGCAGATTTATAAGTCACGGGAATACTCTCCGGGGTTCAGCCGCTTGAAGATCGGAATGGCCCACTTGGCGCTCTGGACCTCCGTCCCCCTTCTGGCAAATTTCTCAAGAGAAAATAGCTGACAGATCTAATATGGAGACGTTGAAGTACAAGGAAGATAATTAATAAAACGATTGGAACTGTTTG